GGTATTTGTTTCGTTCCAGAATGGCGACAATCAAAGCATGCTTGCCTTACAACTTCTGTCCACATTGCTCAATGATTTCAACTCGGTTAGTCTCTTAAAACACCCTCCCACACAAAGGTCATCAAGGTNCGTCACAATTGTCTTCTTATTTCAGCAAGCTGGTATGGAATCGGTGAACAAGCATCGAAAAGGTATTGCTCTATTCCGTGATTCACACATTTTCGAGATTTTTGAAACATCGGTGTCGCTTCTGGAGGCCATCTCACGCAAGGATCTTGCTTCCTTACAGGTATCACTCTTCCAATTTTTCTGCCGTCAATTTCAGATTAGCTTGTATCTTTAGATGCCATTTGTTCTCGCGGTTCTTGATCTCTGTTTAAATACCTTGCTCTTCGACTTTATTGGAAGTCTTTCTGATGAAACCAGTGAAGATAACTACACTGTTCAAGTGCCCACAATCTGGCGAACGGGTAAGGATAATTTCTTGTGTCTTTTCTATGTTATCTGATACTATTTCAGCTTTCACTGATGGCAAATTGGTTGATCTCATTTTCCAGCTTTACATAAAACTCCCCAGTGTTGCATCCGATAAGGTAGACTTCATTCGGTTCTTGGAAACCCAGTTAATCAATATGGTTTCAGATTTTACATATCGGTGTTCAACTGGCAAGTGTTCGGCGAACATTATTTAACGGAAGCGAACGCCAAACGTATCTTGAGCATGTGGTAGCGGGAGTGAAGCGGGTTATTGAGAACCCTGAGAAGCTCACTGAACAGGTACTAATTCAGAAGTCATTATGAAAAATTACTGATAAGGGAGTAACCAGGGGACGGGACCAATTATCTCTTTTTCCTTTTCTGGCCTTCAACTCTTCACATTGACCCTCTAATCTCGCCGTTCTCCTTAGTTTTTGGGAGCTAGCGATGTGCGAATTTTGAGAAGACTTTCACTGCTATCGTTTGGATATGTTTTTGTTGTTGTTTATCGAAAAGGTTGACCTCATCCACCAATTCATCATTCATTCACTGAAAATCGCACTTCGCTGTTATTGAGAGCCGATGTTTGATTGGCATTTTGATTTAACCCGTAAGTTACACCCTGGCTAGACAATCAGTGTAAATAATCGCTAATTTGGAGGGTGCAAGTTGGAAGTTTCGAAAGACGAATGTTTTTGTTTTGATTGTGAAACTTCAAATGTCTCCTGAAAAATTTGTTGTCGGAGTCTTTTATTTTTATGTACTTTATGCACTTTTCTTACGTCATAACTGGCCCTAACCTCCTTGCCGTTTTTTGTAATCTCAATGATCTCCGCCTTCGTTTTTGCAAGTAATTTGGTTTTTCAGCCTGCGTTTCACGAGTTCTGTAGGATGGTATCCCGTTTGAAGACCAATTTTCAATTGTGTGAGCTGATAAAAGTACCTGATTATGCTGCTGTCATGCGTCTTCTTGCTCAGTTTACTGTGGAGAGCCTTCGGGTATTTCTTTCTCTAATTCAAGTTTCCTTCTCTTCTTTCTTTCCTCCTTATTCTGCTCCGACTTTAGATGATGGAATTGTCAGCGAACAGCACCTATTTTCTGTTGACTTTCTGGCAACGTATGGTCACTTCGGTCCCATATGTTCGCAGCAGTGAGGACCATTTACTTAACCTATGTTGTCCTGAGATAATGACGGCTTTCGTGGAAAGCCGACTGCAGAATGTGGAAAGAGT